CGGTCGCCTTGCTGCCCGGGCAGGGCTTTGCCTGCCGAGCGAGGCGCGACGGTGAGGTTCTGGCCCGCCCCGGGGCACTCTCCCGGGTGTGGGGCTGGGACCCTGCCCGTCTGGACCTCTCTCTCCTTCCCTAGGTGACGGTGAGCGCCAACGGCCTGCTGGGGACCCACGGCTGGCTGCCCTACGACAAGAACATCTCCAACTACTTCAGCTTCACCAAAGACCCCACCGTCACCAACGCCAAGTGGACGGTGAGGTTCTGGCCCGCCCCGGGGCACTCTCCCGGGTGTGGGGCTGGGACCCTGCCCGTCTGGACCTCTCTCTCCTTCCCTAGGTGACGGTGAGCGCCAACGGCCTGCTGGGGACCCACGGCTGGCTGCCCTACGACAAGAACATCTCCAACTACTTCAGCTTCACCAAAGACCCCACCGTCACCAACGCCAAGTGAGTCCGGGCCTGGCTGCTCCTGGCCGGGAGGCTTGGTCCGCTCCCCTGTGCCGTAGGCATCCCCACGGAGCCCCCCTCCCTTCTTCCAGCAGCTCCAAACCCTCCCTGACCAGCCTGCTCTTTCCTGGCCTAGCCCCACGGCCCAGGCCTTGGAGCCCCTGGCCGGGTCTCCTGCTCTTCGTCCAGTCCCTTGATCTCCGGCCATAGGCAGCCCTGGCTGAATGCCTTGGGGGGGCGCTCCCTGCTTCGGACCCTCCGCCGCGCTGGCTGCCGCTGAGCGCCAACTGGCAGGCGGCGCTCCGGGGCGCTGCTCCGTCGCCATGCCCTCTCCTGTCTCCTCCGCCAGGGCCCAGCGCGTCCTCTCCGGCCCCTTCGCCCCGGGGGCGGAGCTGTCGGCCAGGACGCTGACCGTCTCGCCCGACGGGAAGCTGCTCTTCAGCGGGGGACACTGGGACAACAGCCTGCGGGTCACGGCGCTGAGCAAGGGGAAGGTCGTCGGGCACATCGCCAGGCACATAGGTACGGGACTCGCGCCGCTGCTCCTGCACCGTCCTTCCAGGGGCCCGGCGCTCCGGACACCTCCGCCCTCTGCCCCGCTGAGGAGCCGTGGAGGGGCCAGCGAGCGGCACCAGGACCCTGGCAGAGTCTCAATGCTTCGGCCAGCAGACGCCCAGTCCCCCCTTGCCCTTGGCAGCGCGTCCCTTGAGGGACCCCGCTGTGTTGGGGCGAGGAGTCCCCAACCGGAGGACCGTGGGGGGTTGAGAGACGCGGTGCCAGCTCTCCCAGCGGTCTCTAGCATCCACCCCTCCAGGGCCTGCGGGCTCTGCTCGGGACTCCAGCGAAGGGGACCAGGCCGGGGGCCCTCACAGGCTGGGGAAAGGGGCTCGGTGGGGGTGGGGG